GTGTAGTTTCTGGTAGATTTTCAGTTGGGGTGGCAGAGGAGTTTGAGAGGCTTTGTGTAAAGCAGGAACTCATGGCTAGCATCATGAGTTGTAGAGAGCAGCATAGACTAGAAGTTATGATTTGGGGGTAGAAATGAGAGGCCAGAGTTTGAGTGCTTCTACTTACCTCATCACAAAAGTGCTTTGAAACCTACAGAATGGCCACTCTTTAAAATGTGAAATGTGTTATTGCTTCAGTCAGGCTGGAATGCGATCAAACAATTGTAATAAAGACACTTAGGTCTGCTTTTAAAATAACTCGTACATTGGACAATTCTGTTGGAGGACATTATTTCATTTTGCATTTATCTTTAGCAAACCTTTCAAACCTGAAAGGCATCTACTTTGGTTTTGTGATTTCACGCCTGTCTTTTTCCCCCTGGGCCTCAGATCCCTGGTGGTAACTAATGAGTATCTGCTGCAACAGCTGAATAAAGAGCAGAAAGGTTATTCTGGGAAAGCACTCCTGCCCCCTGAGAAGAGTCATCACCTGGGGAGATCGTCGCCCTTTGGGAAAAGCACTCTGTCTCCCTCCTCACCAATGGCACATGACACGGGTCAGTATTTAATACAGAGTGTCTCAGAAGCTGCCACAGAGCCTAGTTTGTGGAGCTAGCACCGGACACCTTTGCAGCCACCTCCCTCCTGTCCATGGAGAGCTCTCAGTGCCATCGACACCAGTGTGGTAGTATTTACTCCCCAAGATTAAGAAAAGTCTTATTCTGATTATATTGTATCGTCCTTTTTATTTCTCTGTTATTCTACGCCCAGTGAGTAATTTTTTCCTTCTGCCTACACAAATTGTTGGCACTTAGTCCTGAGCATCATATCCCACAGAAACATTAGAGTGAAAATGTCAAAAAGGGGGGAAAAAAAAAAACACTGAACACTTATCCCCAGTGTCATTTGAAACTATGCGAGAGAAAAAGAACCATCAGGTGTCTTTTGTGTTAGAAGATATTTAAGAGACTATGAATTGATCCACCTAACGTGTTTGGGGTTTCCTCCTGCCACAGCAAAAGGGGGACAGTGTCTGCTGTCTGCTCTGCAGCAGCCCACAGTTTGGTTAGGGAGAAAAGCACAGACTCATATGATGGAGCCTGAAGCTTGGAACTGGTACCAAACAGATCTACACAGTAGCTCCAAGATGATGTGGTGATACACACCTGTAATCCTAGCACTCTGGGAGGCTGAAGCAGGAGGACCACAAGTTTGAGTCAGGCCTAAGCAATTTAGAGAAGCTCAAAATTTTTAAAATTTCTTAAAAAGGACTTGGGATATTATAGCTCAGTGAAGTCTCTGGGTTAAGTCCCCAGTAACACACACCCACCCCACCCCACCCCACACACACACACTCAGAGAAAGCTCCAAAGAAAAAAGCTTTGAGAGATCAGTCCAGTGGTGTGTGAGTGGAAGCTGGGAAAAGAGTAGAATGGTAATAGGGAGAGAAATGCAAAGCTTCCCAGGCCAGTGCAGGGTCTGGAGCCTCCAGAGGACTTCCAGGGCATAGAAGAGATGGAACATGGCATCACAAGAGCAGGTAACTGGTGACCCATCCTAGCCAACATCAGGAAAATGTCCCCAGAGGACATTCAGCTGAGACTTGAGAATAGGTAAAAGGTTAATAGGCAAAGCACGGAGCCTAGGGCAAGAGCAGTGGGGCAAACTTCAGAGAGAAACAGCAGCACAGACCAGGAAGGGAACAGGAGCACGGTGCTTTCAGGGAACCAAGGGGCTTGAAAGAAGGGAAGTGGAAGTGTAGCTCCTTGTAGATTTTCAGCTGGGGCGGCAAAGGAGTTTGAGAGGCTGTGTGTGGAGCATGGCCTCATGGTGCTGTGGGGACAGGGGTGGGCCCAAGAGGAACTGGACAGCAGAGAGGCAGCAAGGGCAGCCCACTGAGATGTGCACCATTTTGGGCTCAGCATCCATTCTGCATACAAGTACCCTGCATTTCTTTTTCTTTTCTTTTCCTTTTTTCAGTATAGGGGACTGAACCCAGGGCCTTTACACTAAGCTATACTGCCACCCCTCCCCTTTTTGAGATAGAGTCTTGCTAGGTAGCTAAGCTGCCCAGGCTGGGTTTAAACTTGCAGTCCTCCTGCATCAGCCTCAGAGTGCTAGGATTATAAGTATATACCACCATCCCCAGCTATCCTGTATTTCTTAATCCCAATTGAACAGGAAAGATAATGTAAATGGTTCTAGGTAGGCTTCTGCTTCAGGTTTCTCCCAGGTAGCTGATGTTGCTAGAGAGTGCAGAAGGTGAAAGACTGGCCACCTAATATGATGTTACTTCACCCTCAGGACCATGACAGAGAGAGGAGGTGGAAAGATTAGACACTCATTTGTGCCCAGCCTCAGATGCTGTGCTGGAAAGGAATTTTTGTCATGCAAATGAGCCATAAGACACACACACACACACACACACACACACACACACACACCCGACCTGAGTTACCGGACCTCTGGATTTTTGTGTGTCTTCCCAAGGGGGCGCTGGACAGAGGTGTCTCTGATTTGTGTGTTCTAGGCAGCTGGTGTGAGAAATGACAGTGACAGAGAGAACAACCTCCCTGACCCACCCTGCCACCGTCCAGGGCCTGTTCTTGTCCTTGACCCCTGGAGAGACCTCCAAAGAACCACATATTCCCAAAGGGGAATATTGGCTGGTGGCTGTCAAAACCTTGAACTGTCATATTTCAGGGATGGGGCCCAGGGCAGCTGCTAGGAAGACTTGCTGGGCAGATCATCATGGCGGGTGTGGGGGGGGGATAACCCACTTCTTCCTACTGCCCCAGCTCTTCCAGCTTCTAGTGTGAATATCTGATAATGGCAGCCCCAGAATGTGCTCAGAGCACCCCTGAGGAGGATTAAAGGTTCTAATACAGCGTGAACCACCTTCCCTGTCTTTTCCCTTTGTCACCCTAAGTGATTGGCCCTGGGCCAGCCAGCTCTGATTTTCTCTGTGTGGCTCTTAGTCCTGAAGGTAAGAGTAGGGAAACACCAAAGAGTTGTCACCCTGTGGGGCTAATTGGACCCAACACAGGGCACAGAAGATCCCTGAAAAGAGAAAAATAAAGTGGAAAAGAGTTCCTCATCTGAGCCTGGAACCAGCAGGAGAGAGAAGATACGTTTGGGGTAGAGGTGGTCCTCAGGGAAATTCTCTGCCAGGAGGGAGGGGCAGGTTCACTCTGCCAGGCTTGGACTTCCCAGTATGTAGTTTTATCGCTGCATCCCACAGAACTTAGCCATCCTTCCCTGCCAGCCTGGCTTTGCTAGTGAGAGTACCCAAGGTTTTTGGCCACCAGGAGACTTAGGGGAGAAGCACACAGCTAGGGCAGCAGTGGCATTGGCCATTGGCTGCCATGTACCAGATTCTGCCAGACCCCTTTGATCTCTAAGGGTCTTTCTGTGCCTTGGTGGGCCTTGATCTCAAACTCCATATGGGTTTTTAAGAGCAGGAAGCTTTGTTCCTACAAAGTAGAGTTTGGGGGCTCAGCCAGGTCTGTCTCTGGATTCCTCTAAGCCACACAACCAGTTCCAGGAATGGACAAGTCATAGCTCTCCTCCATATCATAGGCTCCCTCCCTTGCCATCCACAGCTGGGAGCTTGGCCCAGTCTGGAGACAGGTAAACTTGGTTCATGATGAGAATCTGTCAATAAGTGGAAGCCACAGTTAGGTCTCAGTTGGTCTCTCTCTCTCTCCCTCTCTCTCTCTAGAAAAGCTTGCAATTCAGATTTCCCAAGGCTGGGGGATCACTCTTCTGCTGGTATGCAAGGCAGAGAGAGCTCTCTGAACTCCTTAGCCTGCCAGGCCCCCAGGGAGGAGGCCCACTACCCTAGCTGAGAGGGCAGGCTGTGCCAAGGCCAGGGGCCAACCTGCAACCTCTGAGTCCCACCTGACCTCTTCTTTCCAAGCCACACTCTATGTCTCATCCTGAGTGGTTAGGCCCAAGGGATTCTGAGCCTCCTCAGTTGCCCTTCTTTACCTTGTATCTGGGTCAGGAAAGAGAGTGAGTATTCATGAATGTGTCCCTTTGAAGGCTTTTCTAGAACCCTTGGGAGCTGCCCTCTGCTGGTTAGGTCCTAGGTCCCATTAGTCCCCTTGCCATAGCAGGATGGGAGTTGGCACCAAAGCCTCAGGCTTGGGAGTAGCTCTGGCCCAATGCCCAGGGCCTCAGAGAGAGGATCTGCAAACTCCCAGAACCTCTGAGGATCAGAAAGTCACCACCCACCCCAGCAGGGTGGTGAACAAATGGGAGGGAATCAGCACAAGGAGGCCCCTTTACTGTGGGACAGGCTCTGTCACTGGCCATCTGGCCCCTCTTTTGGAAATCAGTATTGAGGCTCACTGTGTTAAGAGAGCCTGGCCTGGAGGCAAGAGGCATGGTCCAGCTTCCTCTGCAGAAACCCCTTCCCTCTCTGGACCTTGGTTTCCTCAGCTATAAAATGAGGGAGTTGAACCAGGTATGGTGGCACATACCTGTAATCCCAGCACTTGGGTGGCTGAGGCAGAAGGATAGCTGGGGTTCAAGGCCAGCCTGAGCTACATAGGAAGACCCGTCTCAAAAACCACAAAATTAAAAAAAAAAAAATTAAAGAGTCGAACTATGTACTCAGGTTCCTCCTGGTGCTGAGTTTTCTGAGATTCTTGCCTAGGACCCCTGTTGGCAGGCTTAGAGCTAGGCCTAAGGTGTGGCCCAGGCCAAGCCGCTGTCTCATCCTCCTGCTGTTGTGCAGAGACAGGCTGTGACGTCAGGCTCCAGGTCAGAGCACAGTTAAGAGGCTTTGCATTTCCCTCAGGGGAATCTTGGGTAGTCTAGCTCTGCACTAATGGAAGAGGACTCATGTGTCTTTCTTTCTGGGTAGGGAAGCCAGTGGGATTGGGGGAGATCAGCAGGGATTGGTAGTATTGAAGGGAGCACTGGGGTGTGAACATTATTACCCAACCAGGCCATAGTGATACAAAAGGTGTCTTTATTGAGGTCTGGGTACAAATTAGGCACTTGGCCAGAGCAGCAGCTTAAATATGAGGCAAGCAGGCAGGGGTCAGCCATGCCTGGGTTAGGCTGGGGTGGTGAGGTTATAGGCACAGACTTCCCAGACAGAGAGAAGTCGGGAAGGCATGAGGAGGAGGAAGGGGATGCAGAGAAGTCTGGGTCAGAGGCCTGTTGGGCTGGCCCTGTGGGGCTGGCCAGGAAGTCTGGGTGGCAGGTCCAGCAGGGAAGGAACCAGGCTTTCTTGCTCCATGTACCCCATAAGCCCAGGCCTGAGCCCCTGGCAGAGGCAGCCGCACTGAGACTTTCCCAGGCCTCACTTCTTCACCTTAGCATCGTAGGTGCCTGCATTCTTGTAGGCACTCACGTAGCCACTGTCGTCCAGGATGTCCTGCCGTCCAGCAATTCCCTTGCCCTTGCCGCTCTCATCGAAGCGCTCTTTGTGGGAGCCAGTGTACTTGCTGGTATCAGTCAGCCGTTCCACAGCACCCCCTGTTTTTGCTTTCTGTTTAGACAGATTTCCCCCAGAGCCTCTTGGTAAGGGAACTTGGCCCCTTCCCACCCCTAGTGGAAATTCCCCACATCCCCTCAGTGGCCAACAGAGACGAGCAGAGCACTTACAGTGACACCTAAGTTGGCTGGTTCCTTGCCTGCCACCAGCTGACAGATAGCATCAAAGGCCTCCTCCTTGCTCTTTCCCTTGAACCGCTTGGGGGCCAGCTCTTCCAGGGCCTTCTTGAACTCCTCATAGTTGATGACCCGAGCTGACTTCCCCCTGCCAGGCACATGGGCATCATGAGTTTTCTCTCTTCTCACAACCTCCCTGGTTCTAGCCCCAATGCCACCCTCTGGGAACATGAGAATCAAGGGCTGCCTAGGGCTCACTTGACTTTGGAGAAGACGATGTCAACGTCGGTCCCTGTCACAGCCTTTCCATCAGCCACCTTGCAGTCTTTGCAGAGCTTGGCCCAGTTCTTGCCATTCATCTCTTGCCCACTTGCCTTAGGGTCACCGTGGATGGCAAACTTGCGGAAGCTCTCCTGCAGCCCAGCTACATCTGTGCTCTCTGCCATGCCACCCTGTGGAGATCCACCTTGGTCAACTCCTAGCCAAGCTCCCTCCCCCCACCAAAGCCCAGAATATCCTGGCCTCCACCTCAAGACCAGCAGTGCCTGAGTTGGCAGCACTTTGGCTACTGACCCTCAGATTTGGTGCTAGGACTGCCTGGGGAAAGCGGGTGTGTGCTGAGTATCTTCCTGGACCTGAGACCCTGAGAGAAAATGTCATTTAGTGCCAGCCCTGGTTCTAAGTAGAGCTTAGAAGATGAAATCATGATGCCCACACCAGGCTGGGAACAGAGTGGCACTGTCCAGAAAGATTATGAGGGCAGCAGCTGGAACATCGCTTTGTCTGGCCCTGGCACAAGGCCTGCTTGGGTGGAAGTGAGGGTGGCAGGGCAGGCTCCCCCTCCCGGGAAGCTCTACGCCAAGCTGAGTCAGGGCCAGGGTGCTGGCTGGGCAGGTATTTAGCAAGGACAGTGTCTCTGTAAGGGTCAGAAAGACCTAGAAAGACCCAAGCCAGGCCTGAGAAGGGAGACAGAGCACAGGCAGCAAGCAGTGCATGCCTTAGGCAGGGGTGCAGCTGGCCCAGCCGGGACCTTGTTACTATTTGCTGTTAAACAAAAACATGAGGGGAGCGGGAGCTTGGGGCTGGCCTGGCCACAGTTTGTGAAGCCTGGAGACAGTTGCTAAGGGAGGGTGGTGCTGCTTGGAGAATGTTGCTAAGGGCAAGATGGTGTCAGGGCGGCTCAGGGAGAAGCTCCCAGTGCTGCTGGGCTGGGCTGGGCTGGGGAGCAGGGGCCCACGGGTGGGGCACACCAGCACTCCCTGCGCCTGCGGCACAACCATGGCTTTCTGGCCCTTTGCCATCCATTAGGTCTGTAGCCTTCTAGTCCTTGGAGTTTAGGAGGAGCAGGAGATCTGGGGTAGCCTCAGTGGAGGCTGCAGAGTAAGCAATCAGCCCAAGAGGCAGGCTGGCAAGTAGAACCATGGTCTTGGCTCTTTGATCCTCCACTGAAGCATATGTCCCTCTGTCTATACCTCAGCCCTCCACTGAGGTGACCTCCCAAACCCTGAGCGTGGCCACATGAGTCCACATTCCCACAACCCATATGCACAAGGCCCCAACCCTCTACACCCTGGGCCTTGTACCCCTGGCCACACCCATAGCTCTGGGACTAAGGGCCTGACCCTTTCCTCAGCTTTCACCCCAACACAGGCTCTAGCAGACCTGCACTGAGATCCCCCAATAATACTCTTCATAATGCCCTGCACAAGAGTGTCCCTCGGCTGTCAGCCTCCACTGCAGCCTCCTGACCACTGGTACTGCAGCCTCCCTGAGCACACACCTGCAGCCCACTGCAGCCTCCCCATCCATACCTGACAGCCCTAACTGAGACCTCCGCTAGCCAGACTCAGCAATGCAGCCCCTCACATAACTGCAGCCCCTATCATGGCCTGACCACACCCTCAGTACCTCACTTTGTCCCACACCCTCTGACCACACTCAGCCTGTACTAAAGCCCCCTAGTACCCAACCTATACTCTGATATTTCTGGACCCAGTGACCCCCGCTGCAGCCTCCTGACCACACCCTCGGTCTCAGCCACCATCTTTATTGCTGTCTCTTATAGGAAAGTCTCCAGGGACCACAGCCTGGGCCCCTGCCCAGGTCCCCACCCCACCCCCACTTCCTATACCACTGGCCTTGACACTAAGAGCCCCTTCCTGGTGACCACACTCACCCATCTCTAAATTGCAGGGTCTTCTGTGGGACTACAGTCCTAGTTGGCACTGCACTCCCATTTCCTCGTCCTAGGTGATACCTCCCACCATAGGCCCAACAAACACCTTGTATTCCGTTTACTAAGCATTATATTGTCCCGGGGAGCTTAGGTACCACAGGATGCTTGTCTCAAGGGGCTGGGAGACTCCTGGGTCTGGAAAATGGACTCTTGGTTATATGTGGGCTGTTCAGGTGGAACAGAGTCACAGGAAGCAGCCAGGAGGTCTGCAGGCCAGGGATGGAGCAACCGCGCCTATAAACCAAGGCCACCCATCGGCTCCTGCTGCGACAGCTGGAGTCATCAATCAACCGAGCAGGGAGGTGGGGGCTGGGGAGTAGGGTGGAATGCGTGGGGCGGCCTCAGGGCCGATTCAGCTAGAGTCCTCGGCTCTGTACCATCAGGGCTGGGACCCCTTTCAAACCTCTCCCACCCAACCCTCTTTGTGCAGGGTACTGATCAGGGTGATCGGCGTCCGGGTCTCCTACCGGCTTCAATCTCTTGGCTGCTCCTGCAGCGCGCGTTCAGATGGACAGAAAGACACAGGAGCAGACGGATGGATGCGGGAAACCAGGCGGCTCCGCAGCTCCGCTCCCTGCCGGCTCCAGGGCGGGACTGCAGCCGGGGCGGCTCCGCAGTATTATCCCCTGTTTCTCGGTCTCTATAGAGACGGCGAGTCCCGCCCCCGAGGCTGTCTCGGTGGGAGAATGACCAAGGTCACGCTGGCTCCGCCCCCAGGCCCCGCCCCGCCCGAGGAGCAGGGAGGCAGCCTCACCCCGCCCCTCCCTTCAGCCTCGCAGGCTGCGCGTTTAGAGCGGTAGCATTTTGCTTTCTCATGTCGATGTCTTCGGGTGGCTCCGAAGGGGAAAGGCCTCCACCCAGAATTCAAGCAGGCCCCAAACCTCCAGGGGACATCAAGCTTCCCCGAGCCAACCAGAGACCGTCTGGGAGCTGGAGCGCAGTAGGGAGAATTGTTCCTTCCCTCGATGACAGGGTACTACAGCAGCTGGCTTGGGACCACAGCTGTCTGCTGAAGGTGTGGCATCTTCAGCCACAACTCCCGCGTTCTCCCGGTAGGGTTCAGATTTGGGACCAAAGCGGGAGGACGGGGACAATGAACGAATCACACTTGCCCAGCCCTAGAGTGCCAGTGCCCCGACGGCGACCAACCGCTTTGAGGAGAAAGCTCTGCACCTTCGGGTTAGACCCCACCTTGCCCGCAGCCTCTGCCTCAAGAAGAGCAACCTCCTTCAGGAAGTCTTCCAGGGCCTTCCCAACCACAAGCCCCGTAACCGCACACACCTTCACGGGACAACCAGGCAGCCCTTACTGCAGGAAGGCCCACTTCACCCTGCCCGCCCGGGGCCTGACTGGCAATGGCCCAGCTTCCAGACGGCCATAGCCCTTGCCATTTAAGAAAGCAAGCACCAAATCCGCAAAAGCATTAAAAAGTTTATTGGAGCATCAGGGCCGGTGGGTTAGATATTGCTGAGTCATGGAGGTCGATCCCGCCGGCCCTGGGGCCCCTAAAGTGCACTCGGTGCTGCGACAGTGGGGGTTTTGCATAGAGTCGGGCCGGCCGCTCCTCCTCGACCCGCACAGCTAAGGCCAGTCGCCCTCCTGGCCGCTCAGCGTCCCAGGTTCACCGCTGCTCGGGCTCACGAATACGGCAGGTGCACGCGCCAGCCCGAGCTCTTGGGCTCT